TCTCTGCTTACATGCCTGCTTCATCTTTAGGTTATGGCAGCTTCAGCCTAGTCTCACACCTTGCAAAATTCTTTCTACAGAAACCATGCTGTTCTTCAAGAAACTGCACAACATGTCAGCAGATTCATCGCTCTGGCCAATGTTGGCAACACTGACAAGCGAAAGGTGAGCAGAGACCTTTTCTTTTTCTTTTCATACCTGAACTGAGCAGTAGAATGCCCAGGTTGTATGCAAGTTGATCGTGTTTCTTCCAAACAATGCAGTTCAATTTTTGTCAAGAAATATGACTATATCAACTATTTAAACTAAACAAGCCCCAAGGAGGGCCCATGTAACACCTCTGCTCCATGAGCTGCATTGGGTGCCACTGTGCTTCCGGGACCAAGTCAAGGTGTTGGTTATCACCTTTAAAGCCCTACATGACATGGGACCAGGTTATCTAAGGGACCGCCTCTCTCCTATGACTTCAACCCATCCCACCCGATCACACAGAGAGGGCATGCTTCGGAGCCCCTCGGTGAAAGCACTTCGACTGGCGTGGTCCAGAGGGCGGGCCTTCTCTGCGGTAGCCCCTGCTCTTTGGAACATTCTGCTCCCGGAGGTGCAATTGGCCCCCACACTCAAGGCTTTGAAGACCTGGTTCTGCCACCTGGCCTGGGGTGGGGTGGGAAGACCTCAAGCATGGGGATGGCTAGCCCCCTTCTGCCTTCAGCCTCAGATTTTTTCATCCTCTTGGACTCTCTTTCTCCTTTTTAGTAATGTTTTTAATTAAGGTTTTATATATTTATATATTTTGTGTTTTTAATGTTTGTTGTGAATCACCCAGAGTTCCCCCATTGGGAAAAATTTAATTAATTAATTAATAAAATAATTTACTTTACATTTGAAGTTTTGCATTGAAGGATGAGATCCCTCTTTAATTGTCAATTTCCATTCCCCCCTTTTTAAACTGCTTTATTGGCCTTCATATATTTTGTCTCACAAGTTTATGCAGGAGTCTCCAATCTATTTGGGCTAATGAGCATATTTGAAATATAGGCAGACTCACAAATAGTTGTATGCTTAGCATGGCCAGTGATAAAATATCCATATGCTAGATCTGTGCACATTTCAGCAGTGAGTGCAGCAACTCTACACTATTCACAAAAACAATCCAACCTTTTTCAGGCTTCCTTATAAGCCTAAAAAAAAAAAAAGATGGCACCTTGTTTTTCAGGTTCACTTGGAAGCCTGAAAAAAGTTGGGATGATTTAATGGCTAGCACTTGCACAAGGTGTGAAGAACATTTTCTAAATTACTTTTAAACTGACCACAACCCAACTATATTCCAGAAGACAGAGAAAGCCCCGTGCTGCAGCAACCTGCTGTTTTATTTTCTGAGAATGCCCCTGGGGCCTACAGGAGGACCAGTGGTATTGTGCAGTTGCCAGTTATGCTTGAGGTGGAAGTTTTGCTTTGTAGTAGGTAGTAGACTGTTTATTATTCGAAATTAGACTTTTAAATAATTTTAAAAATCAGGCTGAATTCAGAGCTTGGCAAGCCCCAAGGAATATATCACTGAGCACATTTGTCACATGTTATGGACCCAGGATATCTTGAATAAATGACAAGAGGTACAAGGCTGCCTGTGGCCTGATGGGTTGTCACAGCAACAACTCATAACATTTCTTCAACTCTTTCTTCCCTCTCCTGCATTTACCTACAGCTTTACTTGCTGCTGCATTTCCCTTTCCTGCTGCCAGTCCCCTTGCCTGACACTTTTCCTGTCTCCTACACACACCCCTCATTCCCTACCATTCCTTCCCTGCCAGCCTACCTCTAGGCATCTCTTGTGGTTCCCCTAGTCTGCCCTCTGGCCTGTCAACTGCCCCTAGCACTTTGCTCCTTCCCTCATTTTGCTGTTACGTGGCTTGCCAATTGCAGTGCCTCGATTCGTGCAGTACGCTAAGCTAAAACCAAATAGACCATGTATGCCTTGTGTCAGTGTGTGAAGGTCCATTCCCACCAGTGTTTTGAAACTCTCTCCTCCTGTTCCTAGACCCTAAGTGAGGGTTTCCAGCCTGTTCTCCTTGGTCTCTCTGGCTGATCTATTTCACTTATAAAATTCAGCTGCTTCAGCTGGTGCAATCTGTTGTGTAAGGGCTGGTCCTTCCCTTTCATCATTTATAAATATGTCTACATCTTTGTCAGGAACTTTGCTAAAAGAGCCATGTTCTGATAGCTCATAGTTTTCATTGTTTGGGTGAGAAAATGCATACATCTATCCTCTAGTTTTTGAAAGTGCTTAAAAATTAAGACAGTATCCTGCAAGTTTTCTGCTGTGGCTCTACTCTGTTTTTGTGATTCCTTTCTCTCAGTATCTCTATGCATTCAGCATTCTTCCAATGAATTCAATGGATCCTGCAGAACTCATCAGACAGCCCCAAGATACCACCGAGAACCCATACCGAAAGCCTGGGAGTGGAGAAAGTTTTGCATATATGTTACCAGATGCGAAGGTACAAGGGGTGCAGCATTCATGTTTTATAATCTCCTAGGCTTGCTGAACTTGTTATGCAGTTTTGTGACGGTCTGGAATAGCTTCACACTGCCACTGCCTCTGATGAATGGGCTCCACTTCTTGTATCATCTTCTTAGGTAGAAGTGCACAACTTTCTTCAGTGAGTCAGGCTGCTTCTGCTGGACATTTGTAGGATCATGTGACATTTGGGGTAGATCTATGGCCAAGGATGCATCACCACAAATAACACACTCTTTCCCATTTCCTTTCTTCTTGTAGGTGGCAAATACCGATTTTCCCTTCTCTTTGGTTGGTTAGTTGATCCTAGGCAGTTTTTCAAATTTCCTTAAAAATTCTGGGCTTACAGTATTCCTTAGAAATAATAAAGCTACGCTAATTATTGTTCGTCTGTTTGTTTTATTTATTTCACACACTTACACACGTTTATTTTTGTATTGGGAACTCCTCATGTTCCAGTTGCTTTTTGAAAAGAGCTTTATTCCAAAGGTGTAACATTTCAAGCTGAAACACATCTTCCTGGATTTGCCCTCTGCCCTAACAGCCAATTTTGCTGTGCTTCCACAGGAGGAGCCTGCTAGCCAATTTTTTTTTGATTTAAGCAACAAGCCAAAAGGAAAGAAACGACCTATGAAAGGAGAAGAGAGACAGCCACCGAAGCGGCCACCTTTCAAACCCCGTGAGTACCAGACTTGTTTATCTTTTAAATATTGCACAAAAATGAACACATGGCTGCAAATTGGCCTAAACCAAAATTGGCTATGTAGTTTTGATTTCCTAAATTAGTGTAGGGATCGGATTTGTACTCTTGTAAGAGTAGAACATTTTGGTATTTGTTTTAGAACTGTTCGGGATGACCAGCAGATTTAATAAATTTGCACAAAATAATTAAGGTACTTGGAAAAGTCCAGAGGGACTCCCCTCACTGTATTGATAAAAGACTTTAGTTTTATTGGTCTTACCATTGATCAGAACAAACTGAGACAAACTCTTGGTGGTGTGTTGAGAGTTATTATCTAGCAGAATATACTTTAAAGCATTTTCCTTAATTGTGACAGTGTGGAGAAGAGAGGGAAACAGATCCCTGATTTGGCCCATCTTAGACTTCCAGGACCTATTACTATCTTCTGTTAAAGATTTAGCAGAAGTCATTGATGATGTCCTGCTTTAAGTCACTGCCAAATTTCTGATACCTATTTCCTCTGATTTTAAAGCATTGCCGACAGCTGCCTGCTGGTTTTGCCTTGCCAGCCCAGATGTTGAGAAGCATTTAGTGGTGAGCATTGGCACACATGTAAGTGTCTATTTTCCAATAGCTATGCTTTAAGATGAGAGGGCTGAATTATAGAGTACCCAAAATATACCAAAAGTATAGATGTGGAGTTTGTTGGTAATACAGATGGAAGACCAGTGGGAACTGTTTTGAATATTGTTTACTCATAAAAGTGATGTGAAGCTGAATACATGTCGTTCATTCATAAAAGTTATTCATAATACATTTTTCTGTCACTGATAAGCAGATGTTGACAATCTCTCTTTTTACAATTCTTTGGCTATCATTTGGCACCATTCTGCACAGTCTTCATTGCATTTAGGGATATTAAAGTCCCATCAGTTTTCTGTCTGGCTCTTTCATCTAAAACAGTAGTATAAAAATATCTAATAATGACTTTTAGTAAGTTTCCTTGGCTGTAACTTGTTTCTTTGTGAGTTGGTCAGATTTGGGCAATATAGCATCTCAGAATGTCAGTTCTGTTCCTATCGGTTTAACATTAACAGCATGGAAGAGACTGGCTAGGGCAGGGTTCTTCAACTTTAGCAACTGTAAGATGGGGGCTGGGGAATTCTGGGAGTTGAAGTCCACCCATCTTAAAGTTGCTGAGGTTGAGGAACCCTGGGCTAGGGAGTGATAGTGATTCTCATCACTGTTTCTTGGATTCTTTTCCTAGTGCTACCTTGCCCTTGCCAAAGGGGGCTTGTCACCTGATCATGTCCTTATTTTGCCCATTGGACACTATCAGTCAATGGTTGAGCTTGCTTCAGAAGTGGTGGAAGAAGTTGATAAGTACAAGTCTGTGCTGAAAAAATTCTTCAAAGCAAAAGGGAAAAGGTGTGTGATTTATGAAAGGAATTATAGGAGTCAACACCTCCAGCTCCAGGTGAGGTACCTCTGTCTATGAAGGATGATTTTAACAAGGACCCTTAGTGAAAATTTCTGAATGTTCTGGGTATGATCTGATGGCACTAAGAATCGTGGAATACTCCTCCTTTCTTCAGTATAAACTGTATCCGTACATTCTCTTCACAAGCAGTGTTCTGCTTATACCACCTTGTTTTTTCTGGTGACATATTGTGGTAGTTTCTAGCTGGCTGACCAGAAACAGTATCTGAACAGCATCTGGCTACCACAGAGAGTACTTGCGAGGCAAGAAAACTGAGGACTCCTGAAGAAAAACAAGTCCTTGGTACTTCATCTCCCACAGCCAGTTTTTTTCTCTCTCACGTTCATAAGTTTAAGCCTGCAAGAGAGGCATTTGCCTTTCATCATGATGATAACCTTTGCTGAGGGCCCTATTTGGGTCCCAATGATGGAGCTTCTAAATTGCCTTGAATGTTGCTTTTTTAACTACCTTTTTTTATTCCTAAGTGCTGTGAAAATATTCTTCTAGGTTGTTCCTGTAGCCCAGACCTGCTGTACTACTGAAGACATTAAGGAGGCCTTCATAATTCAAGCAGAGGAACGTCACATTGAGTTGTTAGAGATACCAGAACATTCGGCTCTCAAACAAGTAAGAGTCAAGCTGTTCCTTCCTTTGTTTATGCCAAAGTGTTGTTGCAAGGGATTCTGGGAATGCAAGACTTAGATCTCAGCCTAACATGCTCTTTTATGTGCCCCATTTCCTTTATTTGTCAGCATCTGGCAGGACACTGAGTCAGTTTATAACTGATCTGGATAATTCTGAATCCAGAGCAAAACCAGCAAGTCAGACTTCGTCTAATTTGAAATAGGCCTTTAAGTTATCTTCCATTCACAGAAAATAAAAACAAACCCCCTGTTTTTCACTCATATTTCAGCAACTCCGGTGTGTATTTTTCTTAAATGTTACGTAACTTCCTCAGTCTGAGCACTCTCTGGCAGCATAGACTGTAGAAGTAAGAAAGTTACAGAATTCAATTTCCCTGTGTAACTCAATGGGAGCTACACAAGATCTCAGATTTTTCAAAGGTGTGTTCCTCTTTACTCCGAAGACAAAACAGGCTATGTGTGAAGCACTTCAGAGTGAATTAGTTTGTTATTCAGGTGCCAGAGTTCAAATCAAAATTTCTCATTCACATCCTGAATGCTAGACTTCCTGAGCAAAAATCCAGCTGCACCACAACTTTGACACTTGCTTTCGTTTTCCTGACAACTTGGTAAACATGTTTCAGAGATGGCAGAGAAGCTGTGCTCATGTGTTTTTCTCATCCAGACCCACTCTTTTTCTTTCGATTGGGATAGACAAAATATTGTTACGTAGACATGCTTCTTCTCTTTCAGATAGTTCAGCCAGGGACACCATATTTTTATGTAGAACTTGATAATGGAGAGAAACTCTTCCATCGTATTGGGAAGAACTTCCCCTTGCAGTTTGGAAGGTTAGTTCATTTCACTTGTCACTGACACCTTATTTATTCACTTTGTTTTTTTAATTGTGTGATTTATATGGCTACCCAAGTTACTGATTTACTCTGGGCAGCTTACATTTGGATAGAAACATAAAAAACATAGGAAGTGAAAGCAAAGCACAACAAATACCTAGAAGCAGAAAACAGAATAACAAGAGGATTACAGAATAACCAAGGCCAACCATTGCATAGACCTGCAATCTTTTGTTCTGGACTTTGCCCATGAAATGGAATGAAAGAATGTTGTTGTAAAGACAGGCTATAGCTTAGTGGTTGCTAACTCCAGTCTTCTCAGCTGAGGTTGTCTCACCATTTTTTTCCCTTGGCATCTGTTCCTTCCTGCTAGGTTTCAGTTGCCCCTCCACCTGATCCTCATGTGGAGGCATAGATAGAGACACCCAGATGATATAATCAAAAGTGACTTTTGCAGTATGTATCTAAGCAGTCTGTTGGGAATTTGGAGCACTGTGATAAAGTATGAGTAACACTAGTTTGTCTTCTGTTCTTTTCCATAGGGAGGTGCTGGCTAGTGAGGCCATCCTTGGCATGCCTGAGCGGGCAGACTGGAGAAGCTGCCAGACAGGTCGGGAGGAAGAAACTGCTGCAGCCCAAGACTTCCGTCAAGCCTTTGAGCCCTTTGATTTTGCCCAGTTGGATTGAGTACCTGAATGGAGTGGGAAAGCTCTATTGAAGAACAGCTTTCCTTTGAAGTTTCCTACCCAGCCCTAGGAATTTTTCAAGAGTGGGAGTTCATCACCTCTCCTGCTGGCTAGGTCATGAAGGAAGACATTTTACATGACAGGAACAGTGAGAAACTGATTGCTTCCACTGAAGACTTCCTATGACCCTTGCTGGTCTACAGTTTGGGATGTCACCTGCCCTATTCTGTCTGCACTTATTGGTCTGTGGCTTCCAGAAGGCCTTCAGAAGAGGTATGCGCAAAAGATTTTCTTTTGCTGCTGACCACTCTGTTCCAGCAGGTGAGATTAGGAACTATGAATCCTCCTAGATTGGGGAGCCAATTTAAATCCTCTGATATTGGAGGTAGATTTGCAGTGTGCATCACACGGTACCCCAAGTTTTTGTGCTCTGGCAGTAAGTCACTGCTATCCAGGTCATGCACAAAAGGAGAGAATGAATACAATCTTTGAAAGCAGCAGAAGCCTCAGTACTCTGCTGTATAAATGGAGCGGGGGTGAGAAGACTAATGGTGGTCACAAGCTGATAGCGCAAAAGGAAAAACATGCACAGGCAATGAGCAATGTTCTTGTTTTAGGAAAATGAGAAGTCAGATGTGCAATGCAGATAAGTAGTCACTGCTGACTCAAGCTTTCTCTTCAGCTCCAAGTTTAGCTGTAAAGTGGTTGAGGTTTTTTTTATATATATGATTATGTTGATTGTGAATCCTAATGTCAAGCAAAATACTGGCTTAAAAAGAACAGTCTTGGAAAATGGTTAAAATATTTTAATGGTTTACTCAATTAAATATGTATTTTTAATGAGAATGTGCGAAAGGTAGATTTTTTTATACGTGAAAAGCAGATTAAATATTTTCCTGTCAGCTGCTGGCTAGCTCTGTCAGTTGGGAATATAATCATCTATATGAGTTCAGTTAAGATTTTCAACAAGTTCATTAGCTTTGAGGAGGTGATCATGGTTTATGGGGAAGTTGTAGGATCTTCATATATTACAGTAATAGAGTAATATTGAGACTGTTGTCTTATGGTTGGCATGGAACTTCTCAAATGTGACATACCAGCATTTTAATTTACTTGCATCTTTCTTAATTTTTACTTTTTCAATAATTTCCTTGAACTTCTGTTATATGTTGTACCAGTAAGAACTCTTACGTCAAATCTGATAGATTTCAAACAACTTCATGTGACCAGTGTTACTTCATTTATAATAAAATATGGAGTCTAATTTTTGTTAGGCAATACAAGTTAACTTTGAAGAAGTTACAACTTAAAGCAATTAAATAAAAGTGGCTGTGGTTTTCAACACTACTAGATGAACCAGACCAGGAAATCAACTTCACAGGAAGGCTAAAACTACTTTTATTGAGTTGCTATAATAACAGAAGCTTGTACCTCTGATTCTGCTGTACCTCCTCCTCCTTACAGTTCAGTGAATTAGGGAGGTGTCTGCCTGAGTCACTTCCAAATGTTATCTTGCTGTTCTGGACTTTAAAAAATGTTTCAGCTCCTTTTGCCTAGGCAATAGCTCCTGCATATCTCCATCAAGGTCATTTTCCTTGCTCTCTACAGTGGTGGTTAGAACCACCTAGGTCCAGTGATCCTCTATCTTTACTCCTTGATGGGGTAGCACTTTCCCATTCAGGAGTGGTGTACAGACTGTGAGGTCCTCTTAGACTCACAGGTCCGGCTCAAAAAGCAGGTGGCAGCTGTGACCAAAAGGACCTTTGCACAGCTCCATCAAGTGAGTCAGTTGTGTCCCTTCCTAGATCAGGCAGCCCTCCATATTGTCACTCACACGTCACCTCACGGCTTGAGTATTGCAATACATTTTACATGGGGCTGCCCTTGAAGACCATTTGGAAGTTTCATCTGGTCCAGAATGCAGCAGTGTGAGCAGTGGGGGGTATGGGGGGCTTCAGCATGCCCACATAACATCCCTGTTTTGTGAGCTGCAGTGGTTGCCAGTGTGATTCAAGGTGCTGGCTATCACCTAATCAGACCTACATGGCATCGGGCCTAGTTCTTGGAGGGACCGCTTATCTCCTGGCCAGCATGCGTCAACAAAGTGGGTGCACTCCAAGTCCCCTCAATTAAACAGTATAATCTTTGGGACTCAGGAAGCACACCTCTGTCCCTACACCTCCCTTCTGGAATGAGGACCCCCTGAGATCCAGACAGCTCCCACCCTGATGGTGTTCCAGAATGCCTGAAAGACTTGGCTGTTCTTCCAAGTCTTGGGGTAGGGCAGATGGAACCCCTTGTTAAATGTGTTGTATTAGTAGTTGTCTAGATTTTCCATCTTGTTTATTTCCTTTATTCTATTTATTTACCTTATTGTATTTGTATTTCATTTTTTGTACTGTGAGTTGCCTAGAGTCAGTTGGAGTTGGGTGCCACCCAAATAAAATAAATTTTAATAAAATAAATAAAATATTTATAAATATTATAAATAAAATAAAAACAAAATGCACATGAAAAAATCATCATCACCTAGCTTCCTACTAATAGCTGTTTCCCACCCCAGTTTTAAAATAGGGTCTTCCAAATGGGGTGTTCTTATGAAAGAAGCAACCTGGATAAGTAGGAAGAAGGTGCAGGACTTTGTTTAACTTAACGTGAGAATGGGTCAGGGTTGCCCTCTCCAGTTTTGGTGGAAAATGTTCTGCTCTCAGGAGAGCCAGTATTTTTGTAGCCCATCTAGGGTCTTGTCATCTATTTTCAAAAAGTTACTATATCAAGGATCTTGTGCCTGTTCTTGAAACTTACGCTCCCCATTATTTGATTCTCCCTAAGCAAGATACATTTTGAACTGGAATCATAGGATTTTCGTTTCTGCTCTTAGAAGATTCCAACAGCCTTGGAAAGCAATGACCTAATATGGCTTAGGGCCACTGAAAGGATTTAAAGCAGCAGCGCACAATTTAAGGACCCAAGGGCTCTATGGAGTTCCTTAAAATCTTGTTTGTGGCTCCAGGAGACCTTCAAAGTTGTTATCAAATTATATGTTCTTAATATGATGGAAGAGTTATATTAATTTTTTTTAATGATGTTTCAGTGTATAGCCATTTTATGCTGGCATTAGAGAACAATCAGGAGGAAGAGATATAGGTGTACCTGACTGAGCAACCTGGAGAGAAAGCTATTTCTACTTTTGCTTCAGCCCTAATAAGCCAAATACACAAGTTAGAGTATAAACAAAAAAAACCAGTCATCATTCTTTAAAACAATGCTATGTGTGAGGCCACAAAATAGAGCAATGCATTTACTGAAACCTCTAATGGAAACTTCCAAAAGCAGTGTCCAACAATTTATTCACCTCAACAGCTTTGGTGGCAGCTGAGATTGCAGGTGACTCCATATTGGTGTCAGAGTTAGAATTTCTTCTCCCTATTCAGCCTAAATCCAAATTAAAGTTTCTCCAATAAATGGCTATGTGGCCTTGTAGCATCCAGTGCAGGAAAGCAGCTTTCTAGTTAATTGGTTTCATTGTTGAACTGCTGTTACCATTAGAACATTTTGCTAACCTTCAGCCAAACTGGGCAAATAAGCATTAGAGGTGACATGGTGACATTTCAATTAAGACAAAAGTTAGAATGGTCTACTCACTGGTCTTCCTTGTTGTAATGTATGGATACAAGAGGTGGACTTTGCACAAGAATAAAAGCTTTGAACTATGGTGTTGGAGGAAGCTCTTCACATTCCTTAGACAGCCAAGAGGACCAGCCATTCAGTACAGTACTAGAGGAAATCAAGCCTGAATGTTCATTGGAAAGAAGGATGATGAAACAAAAACCGTTGTACTTTAGACACATGCAACCTGATGCATCTGTGGAAAACGTAATGTTGGGCAAGGTGGATGGAAGGAGAACAAGAGGCCAGAACATTAGGTGGCAGATGGAGGAAGCTACAGGAATGCACCTGCAATAATTGCATAATGCAGCAAGAGACAGGGCAGTTTGGAGAACTTTGATCCATGGAGTCACCAAGGGTCGGCTACAACTCAATGGAATGTAATACATAACATCCCTGCAGGAACTTGAAGAATGCTACCATATTTCCCCTTTCCTTGCTTTTTCCCAAGACTAAGTATACTTAATTCCACCAATCTTTCCTCATAGTTTCTAGCCCCCAATCATCCTTATTGCCCTTCTTTGTACCTGTTCCAGTTTGTTTGAATCCTTACAGTGTGGTGCCTAGAACTGGACACAGTATTCAAGGTGGGGCCTAATAAGTATAGAATGCAACAGTATTTACTTCTTGTAGTTTGGAAGCTATACTTTATTTGCAGCAGGAAAAAAAACAGCTATTCAGTTTGCTGTAATAATAGTCAAACGTGGCATTGTAATAATAGCCTTACCCAACCTAACCCATACAACTTGAGGCACAAGGGACATAATGGCAAGCCGGACAGATTCCACATTTAATCAGGAAATTGTCTAATAGTCATTGATGTTGTCATACCAAAACAATGCTGTACACATTACAACTTTTCAGTATTCAAATAAATTATGATGTTCATTCCTGCTGAATTAGTTATGTAGAGAAATATTATCCTTGGCAATTTTCTGGATAGTATGAAGATTGTGATAGTAGCAGTCAGTTCAGAAGCTATACTCAGTTTCTGCAGTGGATGACGTCATCCAAAAAATACTGTGAAGTATTTTGCATGGAAATACTTCACTGTGGATGCAAGAGGAAGCTTTCAGTTCTTGGCAATATATGCAGCTGGGAATCACAGCAATACACACCCACTTGATGTTGGTGCACAAAACTACTATTATAAGGTGAAAGGACAAGCAGTGTTATACACTATAATGTTTGAATCCCATTCTAATCAAACCATATATGCCAAGGTTTTTAAAAATTGAGCAACATCCCCACCCCCACCAAGACCTCATGTGACAGCTCACCACCATTTCACCATCTTTTTTAAGTTGAGTAACAGATTTTTTTTTCCCCTCTTCCCTGTAAAAACAGACCTAGCTAGCTGCTAGGTGGGTGTTTTTTCCCCTCATCTGTCTTGATTAGCCAGAGAGAGCACTGTTCAGCTCAAGTGGAAAATTGAGCAGAAAACCATAAGGACATTTGTGCAGCAGGCTGGCAATGTTTTTGATAGTTTGGGGGATGAAACTGGCAGCTATGTGGAAGAGCCCAAGATTAATTGTGTAGTCTAGGGTATCATACTCTTGTTTTCTGTTATAAGGATCTCAGCATGCCTGTTGATCTTATCTGGGATGTCATATCTTGCAAATGTAAAACTGGTTTTTCAGGGTGAGCTACATTTTTGCAGTAAAAGAGTTAATGCTGCCTGAAGCTTAAAGCTCAAATTGCAGAACAAGGCAAAGTAATTTCCAGTAAGTAATTGAGAAGGGAAGGAGAAATTCCATGCCAGAAACAACTTTCTATGCCCCAGCAGACTTGAACAAACCAGATACTTTTTTTCCCTTTTCTTTTTCTATTAGTTTTTCCTCTTTTTTTTTTTCCTTTTCCATTGATATACCAGCTCCAAAGCTGCTATTGTGGTTGCTAAATGAGGACCACTTGTATATAATGATATGCTAGGTCCAATATAAACAGGAAAAATGTCACTCATTGAAGAATCCCCCAAGCTGGTACCTTTGTGCTCTCAATATATCTCTTTTACTTCATGTTGCAAATTGACTTGGCTTGTCCACTTTTTTTGACTACAGTCCCTGGAGGTTATGCTCCCACTTTAAAAAAAAAAAAAAAAGTGCATCCTTCCTCTGCACCCTTAATTCTCTTCTTTTCTATTTTTTGAAGAGGGTGTTGCTTATTCTGTAGCACCTATACTCCAGGATAAGAAATCCACATTAACCATTAGGTCCCATGAGCCATTTAGAAGATAGTTCTTTCCTGGAGTTCCAATATTTGAACAGGAAAAAAGACCAAAAACAAGCTCATTAATAGAATCCAGAAAAACACAGAGTGTTGCAGGATTAATAACTACAGAAAATAACAGAGATCTTGGGATTGTATACAAGCAAAATGAGGGGAGAGGCAGAAAGAGAATGCATAACGGTGAGCCTATGAGGCACTCTTTTTAATGGATCCAGTTTAATTATGGGGTATTCCCATATGTTCAGTAACTTCATTTTTATGCATACAATATTGTAAGTTTTGTAGGTAGCTGAAGAGAATGCATGTATGTGTGTGTGTATATACACACACACACACACACACACACATATATATATACATACATACATACACACACACACACACACTATAGCTGTAGGATCAGATTGTGTACATAGGCTTTCCTCACAGAAAAAGGCAATTTCCAGAGCACTTTCTGAGCTGGCAAGAAGGTGTGTGTGTAGTAGAATGTTTTTTTGAATGCGTTTGGCTAACTACAGCCCCACCTTCATCTCAGAACTTTGTATATCCTCGGTGATGAAACAGATCTTCAGTCAGTTTTATGACTTTGAGTAACGCTTTGTGCAATGGAGTCTTTCGGAATCACAAGTATTCTCCTGGTCTTTGTGACTTGCCTTTTTTTCATGTCATTCTGGAGAAAGACTTCTCAAAGTAGGAGGCTGCCTCCTGGCCCTTACCATCTCCCACTGATTGGAAACTTTCTGCAGCTGGATACCAAGAATTTCCCCAAATCTTTGGAGAAGGTAAGCAAGTACAACGGATGCCATGCCTGATTGATTGCTCTGCTATACAGAGCTAGATATTGGCATCAAATATGCCATATTAGGGCACTCCTCAAATCGATGAGTAGTCGCTAATCCTCTTGTGTAATACAGTTTGAAATGTGGAGTCCTTGGGGTTTCTGAGCTTGGTTGTTTTCTTGGAGACATTTTGTTACCTGGCTAGGTAACATCTTCAGTGCTAGAAGGGAGTCGGGTTTGCTCTCTGTTTATATACAGTAGCTTGCCCTGTCAGTGTTGGTGGGGGAGTTGTTTTCTCCTTGGTAGTTCCTTGTTTACTGCTTGATTGTCTGAGTTGGTAGTTCCTTGATTAGGGTATTGTTTACTGCTTGATTGTTTGTCTGGTGTTAATCCTCATGTTAATCTCTGCTTATCTGGATTGACTGGTGGTGAGGAGGTGTTCTGGTCTTTTTGTTTCCTTTTTATTGTCTCTTTTGAATAGTGTGTAGATTCTGTTTATCTCTATGTGCCTGTTGATGGCTGACTTGTCTGAATACCAAGCTTCCAGACAAATGATCAAGCAGTAAACAATACCCTAATCAAGGAACTACCAATGAAATTGATTGTTTGTCTGGTGTTAATCCTCATGTTAATCTCTGCTTATCTGGATTGACTGGGGGTGAGGAGGTGTTCTGGTCTTTTTGTTTCCTTTTTATTGTCTCTTTTGAATAGTGTGTAGATTCTGTTTATCTCTATGTGCCTGTTGATGGCTGACTTGTCTGAATACCAAGCTTCCAGACAAATGATCAAGCAGTAAACAATACCCTAATCAAGGTACTACCAACTCAGCAGACAATCAAGCAGTAAACAACAGCCTAATCAAGGAACTACCAATGAAAAAACAAGACACCCACTAACACTAAGAGGGCAAGCTACTGTATATAAACAGACAGCAAACCCCACTCCCTTCTAGCACTGAAGAAGTTATCTAACCAGGTAATGAAATG